GGGGTTACCCTAGGAGGCCCCCCCCCCCCCCCCGGGTTCCAACGTTCTCGAAAATAGATGCAACAATCGCAACGGCCGGGAAAAAAAATTGCGAGCTCAAGAGGAGACGTACACCCAGAGGCAGGCTGAAGACTCTATGCAGCGATCGCACTGAGCGCACGCGTGTGTCATGCATGCGCGCGCATGCCACGGACTACCGAGCATCACCACTACGGACCACCGTAGATTTTATTCTCTTGGCCCTCAACTGCTCCTTTATCTGGAAGGAGCAATAGCTTACACCGGTAGCGTAGAGAACTAGAGGCAACCCTGCGAAGGGTAAGGGAGGTTCGAAATATTACAGAGACATCTGGTGGACCAACAACACTTCCATTAGGCGTATTTCGTCCCATCGGAATCGGGAATCGACTCATCCGGGGAATCGACTCATCCGGGGAATCGACTCATCCGGGGAATCGACTCATCCGGGGAATCGACCCACCGGAGAACCCTCACCGTAACAGGCGAGCCTCGCCGAGCCCGCCGCCCGCCCACGGAGGAGTCGCCGACGCCCGCACGCCGGGTGGAGGATCAACAGCGACATCCACATCGCAACCTATTCAATGAATGGAGTTCGAGCGGCGTGGAGCCACTCGAATCCCAACCCATTCATTCCCAACCCATTCATTCCCAGCCCCAAGCCTCCAGTTATGCTCCTCCATACGCTCCTATCGCTAAGAGCTGAGATCAGCCCCAACATCCCTTTCGTCTGTTAAGGAGCGAAGCCAATAGGGAATGTAGGAGTATCTATCCTCTCGCAAGAAGGCTTTTAAATGTTTTCCCAAGTGTAGATGAGATATCGCTCTTCGCCCCATCGCCCTCCCTCCGGCCCTCCCTCCGGCCCTCCCTCCGGCCCTCCCTCCGGCCCTCCCTCCGGCCCGTGCGTCCTTGAGGGATTCTGATGGGACTCCCATTTTGCGAGTCTAGTTTCTCGCGGTGTTTGTGTTGGATTTCGTGCGTTGGTGGTGGGATGCTTGGCGGTTGGCTAAGCCTCTGAGCGTATTATTCTCCCACGATAGATTTGTCTGACGTCAGAGAATATCAGCATCCGCAGCTGATCGCCTTCAATCGATGTGTTTCCGCGCCTTCTCTCGATCTTAATCGCCTCCCACGCTAAGAAATCCACCCTTGAAAATTTCCCTTTGAGCCTTTTAAAAGAAAAATTTTTTTTTGTCTCCTCCACGGCCTTTGAACATCCGCGGGCGCCAATAAAATAAAAAATAAAAACAAAAAGCGGTACCAAAAAATAACAGGATGTAACAAAATTTTCTCAAGAGCAGATTTATACTTATCATTTTCCCCGCCGTAACTAGAAATTTCGGAGATGGACACGAAGAACATGCATGTAAAAAGGATCAAAATTTTCTACATGCATCAAGCGCGTGACGAATTTCGATGCGGCTGACGTGCATGATGCACCTAGCATAGACACACAGAATCAAATTGATGCATTTTGAGAGTGGAAAAATCTCACTCCACGTGATACGGTTTCAACGCCAGAAAACATACATTGATTCCGTCTTTCTACGCACCCTACGCGACATATTGCACGCCCTTTTTTTTTTTTTTTTTTTTTTTTTTTCGATTCATTAANTACGCCCTTTTTTTTTTTTTTTTTTTTTTTACCTCGATGCATGAAACCACGAAAGGTCCTGGGCGGTCACGCCGTTCCGTAACCGACACAATGGATATCATTCCCGTGTCGAAAATCGTGCGCCTTGCAAACAGGTTGAGGTTATGGAGTAGGTACTTTGAATTTTTTTTCTCATCGCACCTGTTGCCCAATTACCTTCCGTGGCTATCATATTACTCATAGATACATTTTACAAGGGTTGTTCGAAAAGTACCCTTTCAAGGGCTGCCAAAAAAAAAAATTCCGCTTATGAAACCACACAAATGCATAACGGCGATGCCCAAAGTCAGCTCGCCAATTTCCTTCCCAGGAGAGAAACGGTGACTTTGCTGATCATGTAAGATTAAGTAAGTTGGTATGTTGGTAAGTAAAACATATTGGATTTTAAGCCAGCCAAGTAATTTTTCCCCTTCCCATTTCCCATTCCCCCATGTTGTCGTTCATCTGTCATCAATTCACTTTTTTTCCTTATTTTATTATTATTTATAATATTATTAAAAATTATTTACTTCGAAATTTTCCCCGCTAAGCAAGGATGCTGAAGTAATGAGAACAAAAATTTAAAATTCAGATTTTAGGCAAAAAATATATTCAAGGTGAATAATTTAATATCGAATTCATTTGATATTTTTAATATTTTAATATAAAAATTTTTTTTTCCCCTTCACGTCACGAATGCGAGTTCGACTCAATCCGATAGCTTCACGTTCCGGCCCATCTCGCTTCTTCCGCAATATCTCCGCTGCGATATTTTCGGGGAATCGCATTATTGCAGCATTGCAAGCTGCAGAAAACGGGGAGAACCGCGGAATAGGTCCATCTCGTCGCCTCACGATGCCATTCCGAAACCCATTCGAGTTTTGTTGTTTATCCTATTCCAATTTTAAATAAATAAATAAATATTGTTTAAATACACGTCCCCCCCCCATAAGTCCCCCATAAGCGTAAGTCCCCATAACTCTTCAAAATCGGTTCAAGAACGTATTTTTCGCCATTCTGCGATTCTGCACCACGTCTCTCGTCCCGGACAGCAGAACCAATCGCAGTAAATCTGCTATGGAGCTCCTTCCCGGGGAGAAATTGGCAGTTCCGCGATGACACAATGCGAAGGGAGCAGTCTCGCAGAAAACTCAATTCGCCGAATGAAAGGTTTTGGCAGAGGTCGCTCGTCTCGCAGAAAATCGTTCGGCTCGATTAAGTGCGACGGAACGGGTCCCTCGGCATAAATTGAAGGCCGTGCATTCAATGCAAACGAGGGAGAGGGGGAAGGGGTGTCGGCGTCGCATTAATGCCGAGTGTTGTGTCATCGCTACGGCAGATGAAATGGCGAAATGGTGAAATGGTGAAATGGCTTTCGAATGGTGCTGTTGGGCAAAGATGCCATTTCTCGATATTACGATTTTTTCTCGATAGATTTGTGCTTGGAACTAAATAAACAAATAAAGGAAACAAAATTAACTCATAATTTCAAACACGATGCACCGCCGTTGTTGCACTTAACCGCGTGAGATGTCAGGAAGCCGACAATTTAAGAAGTCGTGGAGCAAAGGCTCATAATCTTTGAAACGGTCCCGTTCCTAAGAGGCAGTCATTCTGCGGACAGATCTCGTCTGCGAAGTCATTAAACGCTCCCCAACCCAATGGGAATGCCGCGCCTACAAGGATTCCCTTTTCCTTTTAACTGCGCCCACAATATTCAAGACGTCATTGGTATAATTATAATTAATTATTGGTAGCTCTATTCCTGAAGGAAGATGCAGGAATCAGTGCGGGAATCACCCGAGGTTTCCTGTATCGCCTGTCGAAGTTGTGGACGAGATGAGGAATGTGCAACGTCGTGAAAGGCGCCGACACCACGAAGCCCATCAGGACGTGGCCAGGCACGACGAGCCGGAGGACGTAACAGGCGCACATGCTCGCGAGTCCACAGAGCCATATGGCTATGGCGATGCGGGACCACAGCAGCGTCCGCTCGGAAAACGTCTTCCACGCTTCTCGGTCCGCTGCCTCCATCCCCGCTGCCTCCATCCTCGCTCGAGAGAGACTGATTCGGCTGCCACTGCATGACCTCGTGGGAAAATGTCGATAATGCGTCCGTGATAAGATTCGCGTGCTCGCACATGAATCGACGCTCTGAAGTGGATCTGGTTCTGGTGTTTTCCTGAACCTTATTCATTTCGAATGCGCCGCACTTTTTGCGTTGTCTCGCAGGTAAAACTGCTTGAGATAATTTTTTTCATTCCCAATATTGTGATTTTTTCGAGGGCTGGGAAATCCGCCCACACGAGGCGAAACCGGATCTTCAGAGCGTATCGTGGCGTTTGTCGAGGGCGGGAAAATGGAAGGAGAGATTGTTGACAGGCCCGAGACGTGCGTACTTAAGTGAGTCAGGAAATAAGCGGGGGGAAACCCAAGGCCAGCTTCCCACTCTCCCCGCGCCTGTTTAGAGGAAATCCGAATGGCCCATGAGGTCATCCTCCTCGAGGCTGAGTCCACAATGCGAAGAGGGAGGGTCGCCAATGGCGACTTTTCCAAACGGGCAATCGTGTGCCATCACTTTTTTCCTCCAGAGATATTCACGTGACGCGTGATTCTGTGGCAAAAAAGTGAACATTTTTTCATGTGGAATAAGGGGCCATTGCGTTTAATGATGCCTGTTGACTGCGTCGTGGAGAAGAGCGTAAGACAAAAATTTGCACAAAAATTTGCACAAAATTTCGCAAACGTTTCACGGGAGTATGCGGCGTTCCCAGAGGAACAGTTCCACATATTGGCAATGGAAAGAGACGAGGAACGAAGAGACGGGTGAATCTCAGACATAAAGCTTAACTTAAGAGCTTAAGACCGACGAGTTAAGCTTAAGAAGTTACTCATTTCGAAGACTTGGAAAACCCACCCAGCAAGAGATTCCACGGAAGGTGCAGGCTAATTATTACCAATTGTAACAAATTTACTACTAGGTTTAAGGTTTAAGGTTAAGAACAGGGTTTCCATAATTAATAAGGATTTTTAATTCAATAATTAATAAGGATTTTTAATTCAATAATTAATGATTTGGATTCCTGAGACCTTGTGAATCGGCGTCGGAAAACTTTGTGGTGGACTTCCGAAAGTTATCGGTGAAAAAAAAAATTGGCCATTTCTGTTCTCCGTGAAGCTCTTAAGTAAATTAAGGCAAATTAAGTTATTCTTTAGAATCATGGAAGGGAGATGGAGCGGAAAAAAAAATTAGGAAGAAGGTGAAATATTCGGAATAAAAAAAAAAGGTCAAATAAAGCTGGAGCAGCCCGTAATTAGTCTGAACTAATTAGGCATCTCATGCCACCCAATCGCCCTTAAGCGATACTAGAGACACCTGGGCCTTTCCTCCTACCTCTGCCTCGACCGCATGCTTTTGCTCCATTTTTTTTTTAAATAAAAAATGGAGAGCTTCAGGAAGTAAACTCTCGTTTACTCAGGCGCAGTTTTCTCGTCGTATCTGCCACGCGGGAACCCGTTTTTCGCGAGGGAACGTCTTCCTGATAATAAACGGGAATGCCATGGCTTCTGGTGGCGTGTGGACCTGCATCTCTCATCTCCCGCTGCTTCTGCTATTAGGAACCAAGCGCGATTTGCTTCTCAGCAATGGGCTTTGCTGGTATTTGCCCCGTTCAAATGCATGGTCAAGGTCGAGCAATTAGCTTAAACTAAGTTCGAGATTTTAATAGAATTCGGCGCCTGGCTTCTCGGACGAAAAGGGCCAAGGGAAGAGCGGGAACCTCCCCCGCCGTCTTCGAAGCCGATCCCGTCTAACCCCGAGCCTCCGACCTTCTCGCTTCTGTGGATCGCCAGCAGCCGAGGTGGACTGTGGCGTCCGGACGTGGAGCGTCCGCTCTCCCACCTACATCCTCTTCGTCGCCCGCTCTCCCATCCGAAAAATTCTCATCATCGAATGAATGGACGACGAAGTTCCTACGAGCGCGTGTGCGCTTATCGACACTCCCCCAGCTGCCTGATCCATCATGGTGAATTTCGAGCATGCCTACGCGGATGCATTCGGGCGTTGCGGATGCTTCTTCGGGCTCAGATGATTTGGTTTAATGAACTTGCGTTTCATGTGGAAGACGGAGATTCGCAATTAAAATTTTTACGAGTTGGGACGGCACTTGCGGCACTTGCGGCACGTGCGGCACTTGCGGCACGTGCGGCATTTGCGGCACGTGCGGCACGTGCGGCACTTGCGGCACGTGCGGCACTTGAGGCGCCGTTTCTTAATCGTCGTCGGTTCCGTTCGCTCCCGAGCTGACAGGTTCGCGCTGCGCGATAAGCCGGCTTTCGTTGGGTCTAATCGGGGATTTCCTCGCGATAGCGAGATTAAGGCCAGCTGACTGATCAGATGGCTCTTAAATCATCTGGTCATCAGTCATCTGGCGCGATGGGTCGCTTGGGCCACTCGGGCCGAATGGGCCGAAATCGATCTGAAGCCTCTTTTGCTCCAGGGTTCTCCTCGCAAAAAAATCGGGAGGATCGACCTTGAGACGGTTCCCCCTTGTGGGTACAAGAAATATTTATATTTCTTGTATATACGATACAAGAAATCGTAATATTTACTCATCTTTTTTTTAATGTGGAAGGAGAAAAGTGGAAGAATCCCAGGTTCCATTCCATGTTGACATTCCACTCCGGATTTGGACGGTCGAATGCGTGGATGCAAGTGCCTGTCGGGGATTGCCTGTGCCTGTCGCGGGATTGCCTGTGCCTGTCGCGGGATTGCCTGTGCCTGTCGCGGGATTGCCTGTGCCTGTCGCGGGATTTTCTTGCTTTGTTCCGGGTGTTCGAGGTTGCCGCTTCGTATATATATTTTAAATATTCGTTTTATATTCATCAGACCTTTTCAAGCGTTCATTTCTTGGCTTATTCATCGTTGAACCTTACGTATGTGCGCCACGTATTCATGACGGCGTGACCACCGCTGAAACATGGGTGCTCCTCGAGACGCGTGTAGAAGCTTGAGATACCTCTCAAAGGATAAAAGACGGTTCGAATCGAACCGGAACTTCGGATGAAATATCTCTGAAGACGGATATAATGAAGAGACCTGTGGAATAGCCCGTGCCCCTCCAAAATCAGAAAAACCCAAGCAGACGACTCGGTGTCGACTCGGTGTCGACTCGGCGTCGACTCGGTGTCGACTCGGTGTCGACTCGGTGTCGACTCGGTGTCGACTCGGCGTCGACTCGGTGTCGACTCGGTGTCGACTCGGTGTCGACTCGGCGTCGACTCGGTGTTGCATGGATTCACGTAAGTGCCGTCCTTGAGCTGCAGCACGTAGAGACAGCTGGTGCTTCCTGGCACACCGTCGCTTCCAGTGGAGTACGTGACCACGAAATATTTTCAGGAAAAAGATTATCAGGGTCGAATGGATCGACCGCCTAAGCACCTTCGTCAAAAGATTAAGCCATCTTAAATTTAGGATGTCAATCGGCAATGAAACGTCATTTTTACGGCATTCATATTATTAAGGGAATTTCTAAATTTACTGACGGAATACCAGGCTGATGAATGCAATCCTGTACGATGCCTCATCATAAAGACGGTTCGGTCCAGGAATTCCATCGTAACAGTGCCTCATGGAGCAAAGATAGCAGTGCCCGTTCCCGTCGAAGTTTTTTTTTTATTCCGACCGTGGATGGGAAGAAAAAAAGGCCATTCGTGTCGCGTTACTGACGTGACGCAGGTTCGGCAACGGTGTTCGTTCTGCTACTTTCCTTCCAGTTTTTTGTCTGATTTGGCTTGACCTAAAGCTTCCATATTTTCAGAAAGAAGACATGGACCTACGCCGTTCATCATGTCAAACGACATTTTTTAAAAAGCTCAAAAAAATGAATTGGCTCGGAGAGTTTTCCTGCGTTTCTGAGGCAACATTTTAATGCAAAATTTTAATGCAACATTTTAATGCAACATTTTAATGCAACATTTTTTAATAAATTCAAAAAGTGAGATTCACCCAGCAGGTGTTGAATTGAGTCAAACGGAATGGTGCAGGAGTAACGAAAAACCATCCCACTTCAGGTGATCAAGGTTTAATGGAGCCCATTTTGAACCAAGTTTGAGACCCGTCCAGAGGAGGCAAACGTGAGCTGGATGACAGTTTTGCAAATCCATTTTTAGCAATGATAATGAATTGCGATTTCAGCGGTATTTTGTCCCAATAACTCTGAAACTGGCCCATAAGCAGAGGGGAACGAGACCCGACTCATCGCTTTAAATTCAGGCATTTTCTGTTCGGAGTGAAGATCGAGCGATCGGCGATGCTTTTCGCCTCTCCGGGGAAAGTTCCGAGAGAATGAAGACCGACGGATCTCCAATGTGGGCATCCACGGCGATTCGTCTCTTCACCGTTCGGGCTCGTGGAGCGAGAGCTTCACGACGTCCTCGTAACTCGGCGGGGGGTCGAACTCGGGGGATGCCTGCACTCGCGACGACACCGAGGGGATGACGTGGCCCGGCCTTGAGCCGTTTTCGGCGGAACGGAGGGATTCGCCCGGGACAGGCCGGTTGGTGAGAACCACGTTGACGATGTCGCCGCAGGGCATGTCTCTCCAGGCGAGGGATGACACTTTCTTGACGACGAAGGGAGGCACCCCCTCCCTCGGGCTCGGGCGGATGCTCTTCAGGTACCAGGACTTCCCCAGGATCGACGGCAGTGCGTCCTGATGCACCCGGCCTCGAACGTAGTTGCCCCGAGCGAGGGTAGCAATTTGAGGCGTGGTCACGTACCAAGTGCGATATGCGGCCGGGGTCTCTGGTACCAGGACGTATGGGACGTTCGGGAGCATGTACACATCAGGGCTCAATCCCGCGGCGATGCACTGGGTCAGGAAAGAGACCATGACAGGAGTTAAATATGAGGGAAATAATATGTTTGCACGTTTAATTTATGGCAAAAAGAGGAAAGTAGAGATGCCAAGAAAACCCTGGAGTTCTGGCGGGAATCGAACCCGCTCTGACAGGATCTGCAAGTCTACTAATGTGTCTCTGCGACGCGGACCTCTCGTCCTTCGCGCTGCCCGGACATACCATCTCTTGGCTTCTCGGTTAGCTTAAGATTTTTTTAAATCCCTGTTAAGGCAGGATGACGGCGCTAGTGCAGACAAAATCTGCAGCGCCGGCATGCTTTATCTTTGCGGTCATCGTCGGTGGTGGCTGTAGCCTTTGGCTCGAGGTAATTTGCACAATCAGAATTAGGCGTGACGAAAAAACGCTTTCAAGCCGACCATGGACCATCTTGGCAGCCGAAACGAGGATATCAGCAAAAACTTCACATGTCATAATCATGCCATGTCATGACCATGGCATAACTTCACATGTCATAATCATGCCATGTCATGATTATGACATGACTTCACATGTCATAATCGCGTTCCATTCATTATCCGAGCCCGGAGTTTGCATGAACTCGAGCAAATTCTTCAAAGAAACTGACAATCTAAACCATCTAAAACACTTCTAAAACACTGCAATCTAAAACACTTTCGCAGCAGAAGACCGGACCTTACGGGTGCCAGCTTACCACCCGTGAAGGCCTTTGAGAAACGCTTCTGTGCCATCCTCGGCATCTCAGAAAGTGGCTTGTGGAACAAAACAAAATACTCCTGAACTAAATACCATGCACATGCAACCAGGAAAAGAAGAAAGTCGTTCTAATTTTCTGTTTCTGCGGTCTCATTCAGCCAAAAGTAGAAGAAAATATCCTTAAAAGAAATATCAACTCCTACCATTACCTTCTGAAGTTCTGTCATTATTTATGTAACATATATATAGTCTTAGTATTAATATAATTATTATTATATTATATATATATATTATATATATAATATTATATATATAATAATATTAATATATATATTATATATAACATATATATATTAATATTATTATTATAAGTTTAATATATAAATTAAATATTAAAAACAATTAAGGCCCTGGATACGAGATGTCAATGTCCATCTGCTGGAAGCTTCGAAATTTGGGTTTTGCATCATGTTTATGAACTGCAGGATCTTTGAATACCTTCAGATTAGGCTATTTCTGAGAGTTCCGGATGAGTCTTTCGCTTTCCGGAGTCTTCAACTCCGGAAATGTTGGGAAAACCTCGAATTTCACCAAACGAAAAAACACCTGCGTTAAAATGTTTTTAAAAAGTTTAAACAAATTTCTCAAGAGACAGTATCATATATATTATAATATCAGTATGAAATTGAACTATTCCTGAAGAATAGTAAAGCATGCAGCTTGAGTCACCCGAGATTTCCTGTATCGCCTGTCGAAGTTGAAGATGAGGTAAGGAATATGCAAGGTCGTAAAAGGCGCCGTCACCACCAGCGCCAGCAGGACATGGCCAAGCACGCTCAGCTCCAACGCATAACAGGCGCACATGCTCGCGATTCCACAGAGCCATATGCCCACAGCGACCCGAGACCACAGCGACCTCCGCTCGGAGAACGTCTTCCACGCTTCTCGGTCCGCTGCCTCCATTCTCGCTGGTTCCGGGAAGAATTATGGTGATCGTGTGCTCGGTGATCATCGCGCGCGAGCTCGAGCTCGTGCCGTCGCGTATTGATAGGGGCTTCGCTGATAAGGAATGTCCTGGCACGGTTATCTTCACATATATCTTATATATATATATATATATATATCTATACCGGTGCATAAATATTCTCCTATTTTGGACCGATATTCTGAGCTTTTTCTGCCTTCTTAGGTTGAGGGCTGAAATGCCTTGACTCGTCCTCCGTGCCTCTGTTACATACCTGAATGGGACGAAAAAAAAATCATTCTGACCTCTATTTGCGATAACGTTGGCATTTTTAAGGTGCGAAAAAATATGACATGCGTGCGTCATCAGGCACAATCATCCAGAGGATATGTGGCGCCAGGAGAGGGATGGGAAAAAAATAGATCGGGCTGTTTACGTGCCACCTTGCACGTAAACGACACGGATAATAATTTAAAGTCCGAAAATAACAGGAAGGCGGCGTATCAGCCTCGCTTGTGGCCAGATTCCGTTTAGACACCGTTCAGACTGTAATAATAAAGCAAGTCTCTAATTTTGCTCGGAGAGAAACCAGGTGAAGATCCAAGGAAGTAAAAAAGGTCTCTGTCCTCGTTCCTTCTGACGACTGCCAGAAAATGACGGATCGGTCCTTTGAAGCCTTTAAACCCGCTTGGTCCTTCCAAGGGCTGCATGCTCTCCGTACATTTTTTCTTGCATCGAGGGAAAAAAAAATTCGGGCTCGTTTTTTGGCCTGAACTTGTGAGTGGAACGAAGATGCTCGGGTTTTTTTTTTATTTATTTAGAAACATTGTTCGGATTTCGTTTTCAAGTTTGATTTCGTGGTTTTGCCTCAATCTCGGAAAAGCCATTTCCCTGGCCGAGTGCGAATCGAAAGGATCGTCTGCAGAAATTCTTGGAGAAATTTGAAGAAATTTTTTTGGCATGGGGGGAGGGGGGGGGGGCGAGTCCATGGACCGATGCATGAAAGGACTCCAATGACCCCGATATCTGTCACCTAATTGCTCGAATGGATTGCATATGGTTGCCGTTTGTTCCGGTCGTTGTCCTGCAATATCATCGAGCAATGAGAAATGGACAGGATTCTGCAGTTTCTCCTTCCCGTGACTCCCTGTCTTTCAAGAAAATCTGTTTCATTTCGCGTCTTTCAAAGGAAATGCTAAAGGCGGTCTCTGCATGGAACCGTTCGCGAGGCCTCGAATGCACGCGAGGAAAGCAAAGGCCTTCAAATTGCAGTCTCGGAAGGACCAATTTCCTAGAATTTCTCGCCCTGACTCCAATTTGAGATTGGAATCGCTATTCCTTCCTCCGCTATTCCTCGAAGGAATTCTCGAATTCCTTCGAGTCCTGCCTGGAATGCGTTCTAGTGGCGAACGGGGAGCGATTAAAGGGGATGCGTGTCCCCGTCCCTTTAAACCCCCTGTCCCTTTAAACCCTTCGCCTGTTTTCCATTCTGAGGATGTCGATGCGGTCGTGCCGTCATGCGGGATGCTTCCAGAAGCGCTCGGATGTCGGTGGCAGGGCTTGCCTCTACTCGTTTTGAGGCCGTTCGCAAAAGTAAATGGTGATTTTTCCCTAAGACGAATTTTGCCTATTTTCGGCGACGGCGACGGTAATATGCGTTCCAGCAATCATATCATTCAATCGCGCGAAATTCAGGAATAGAAATTCACAATACTGTTGGAATTTTGACGTCTCGTTTCTGATTTCTGCGCTCCTCACCGTCCATTCCATAATTTCCTGCCATTTAGGCAGACTCCGCGAGACGCAAAAAGGCCATTATCTGAAAGACGGTTGAAGGGATTGACTATTGATACAAAATGGCCGTTTATAGAATGGACAGAGCAAAGAAGAATTGGGCCTCCATCGTTCCCTTTTCGTTCAGCCCTGAAATCAATGTTTTCTCTTTTGACCTGCTGAAAGCGATGAGAGAAACGATGAGGGAAGTCAATCGGCCGAAGACTGCGTCAACCCAGCCGCCAGAACATGCGCGACCACAGAGCGTCCTATCTGCGGAAGCTGCGGCTCCTCAGCAGTTAGACCATCTGTGGCTCGGGAAGGTTTTGCACGCTTGGCGGACGTGGATGTTTTAATCAATCCGACTGAAATTCTCCTCCATGCCATTAGATGGAGGTGTGGGTCTCACTTTTCGCACGATACGCGATAGTTCCCTTCTCTCCCTGGAATCGTCTCCCAAGGTTGTTTCGTAGTGCCGAACTGCCAAACCGAGACAATATGTGAGACAATATGTGAGACAATATGTGAGACAATATGTGAGACAATATGTGAGACAATATGTGAGACAATATGTGAGACAATATGTGAGACAATATGTGAGACAATGTGAGACAATATGAGACAATATGAGACAATATGTGAGACAATATGTGAGACAATATGTGAGACAATATGTGACAATATGTGAGACAATATGTGAGACAATATGTGAGACAATATGTGAGACAATATATGAGACAATATGTGAGATGTGAGACAAGATGTGAGACAACATGTGAGACAACATGTGAGACAACATGAGACAACATGAGACAATATGTGAGACTATGGGAGACAATATGTGAGACAATATGTGAGACAATATATGAGACAATATGTGAGATGTGAGACAAGATGTGAGACAACATGTGAGACAACATGAGACAACATGAGACAATATGTGAGACAATTTGTCCACTCGTGACCAATGGATCCACTATCACTGGGAAAACGGCGGATATTCCGATCTGTTGATCATCTATCTTTCCCCTACAATATTGTAATTCGTTGTTGCTTTTTCCCTCCTGTCTAAAATTTTCCAAACCAATCACTCATGACATTTTTTTTACCCCGACATGGAGCATGAGGTACTTCACCTCACCCGGCCGACATTTCTTAACTGCTCATATTCGAATGAGAATATGGAAAAGTTTGAGTTTCGAAAATGATAAAATGCGTCTCTACTTATTTGGTTTTTGAGATCAAAAGTAAACTCTTTCATAATCCACTCAAAGTTTATATTTTTCCCTCTCTATTATGCTGCCATCAAGAGTTTTCTGGTACGCTGAAAATTAGTTTTTTTTTATTGGCTTACCTCTAAAGGTTCCCGTGAATTTTGAAATAAAATGAAAGAGTTTCCATGGAAAACACTTGAGTCAATATGCCCTAACAAGGATCTTTGTCGGTATAGGCAGGAAGTTCCAAAATGATTGAATCTGTACGTCTGTGACGTGGAATCCACATTGAGATCGTCTGGAGTTTAGCAGGCATAACTTCTTCTTGATATTAATAACTTCGTGTCGTGTATTCCTCAGGCCCCTTTGACCCCTCTTGCCCCCTTTCCCCCCTTTCCCCCCTTTCGCCCTGGGGCATGTACTCGGTCCCCTCACCACAGGCCGGATGACAAATTCCTCCGACCCGGCCTCACCTGGTTCCTCCCCTTAAAATGTGGAGGCTTTCCGCTTTTCGAGCATTCCCCCGTGCTCGGGTGAGGACTTCTAGGAGTGTTCTCGGGACACCCGGCATTCGTGGCGACTCTTCCAAGCAGTGTTCGCGATCGTCCTTCTCCAACCTGGCCCTGGCCGGGAGGATGTGTGCCCCGCCTCCTCCTCTCTTCGAGGCTCTCCGCCTTCCTTCCCAAGTTTGTCTGCCGCGCCATATCCTCGGCCCGGTGACCATCCTTAAGGAGGGTGGTCATTGTATTTGTTTTGGTCCGCCATTAAATTGAAGCATTCCAATACTTCTCCTTCGTTCCTACTTGCCACGAAATCTTGACCCCAGCCCGCGATCATAGAGGACAAAAAAACCTCTCCAGACGCCAAAACCACGTGACATCGATATCAACAAAAAGCTTGGTAAAGGCCAATCCGATAACAACTTTCCTTCCGTTGCTTTGCAATAAATCACAGGCAAAAGCGATTGCAAGCATCTAGAGGGAGGCATTTCGCCCTCAGCGCTTCTCTGACTAGTCAAATCTTCAATTCTAAACTTTTTCATCTCTCAGTCAGTTCGGATGCTTCAGAACCAGAAAGCTTCAGCTCATCAACGAGTTATGGTAAAATTAAGGCGAAACCTCAGCTCAAAAAAAAAAAAAAAAATCGGTTCGAACGTGCGGAGGCCCTCAGCGAACCGTTTGCTTCGACCGGCGTTGTGCAGGTGTCACTTCCACCTGTTGAAAAAGGATGCAGGAGCGACGGGGGACGTTCAGTCGCTGCGCGTTGGCGGACTCGGTTGCACGAAACCTCTCGGTTACCGCGTACCGCGACCGGTTTGGCGTTGGGACGATGACGGTGACGTATTCGGCGGACGTCGCCACGTGTCAGACCCTCGGCGGATTCTGGAAGATTCTCTTGAGGTCAGTTGTTGAGTCTGATGAGTTTATGTTATGTCTGATGAGTCGTGTTGAGTCTGATGAGTTTATGTTATGTCTGATGAGTCGTGTTGAGTCTGATGAGTTTATGTTATGTCTGATGAGTCGTGTTGAGTCTGATGAGTTGTGTTGAAATATGTTGAAATGATATGAAACATGATATGTTGAAATTCCCGGAGTTTTCCTCGGACTTATGAGGCAAGAACAAAATTATCTGGTGAAGGTGAGGTGAAAAGCACAACCTTGGTCGCCATCAAAATTTTCGGGGGAAGCTCGCGGCAGTTTTCCCTGGTGGCCATCAGTCGGTGATTGCTGTGCTCAAGTGCCTTTCTGCACTTGAGAGATTCTCATTCCCTGCCACTTGCGAAAAATGAACTTCACACGAGCTCGCCGTCTCATGAGGCATTTTCCCAATTTGATATGTTTCCGTGATAACTGCAGCCTTGACGTATTTTGTTTTTAAATAAAGGGTGTATCACTTGGAATCAAGAATATCTTTCCAGGAAAAATAAAAATATGGAGAACCTCCCGACGAGAACGTCGATCGAAAGAAAAGGAAGCCGATCTGAAAGGGGCATGGGAATCTGGAGCACATGCCTCGGCATGAGCGCTCTGCCTTAAATGCGTAGAACAATGGCCATCATTATCAATCTTTCATGCAGTTGAATGCGAGCTCAAATGCATTAAACACGGCTCTGAGAGAGAGGGAGAGGGAAAAGATTGCAGCCGATGCAGTGAGGATTGTTTCCACTCTTAAAATGAATCTTTGATCTTCCAATGGGCAACGGAGGCAAGTGCATTTTTAATCGCCACTCAGAAAGGGTGATTTCGGGGTGAATTCCCTCCATTCCAGGTGGAAGGGGAGCGTGTACAAGCTGATATGGCCGGACCTGATGCTGTGGCTCAGCCTGTACTACTGCCTCTCCTTCACCTACCGCTTCGCCCTCGACGAGGACCAGAAGAGGCAAGTTTTCTTGCTTGGCGGCGGGGCAGATGGAGGACTGTGAGGGCACTCGACGCTTTGCAAAGAGTATCGTTTTTGACAATAAGCGATTATGTTCTGAGAAATTATTACGATTGTAAATGTAAAAATTAATTAATCCAATTTATCCGGTCTTTCCCATGTCGGCCGCAAGTATTACTTCATTCTTCTTCTCTTCTCATAAATGGAAACTGACCTCAATATTTCTTAGATCAGTTTCGATATTTTCATTTCAGTTGGTTCGGTTAATAATATACATACAGTATATCTGGGAGCTTAATGCAAGCTCCTCATCGGGCCTTCGTGTGGGCCAACGGCTAGTAATGCTTCCCGTTAAATAAGTCCGCGGCGAAAGAGATTTTCTAAATTATTTTTTAGCTGTCAAAATTATACGGTAGCTGCAAAAAGAGTCAAGAAGCAGGATAAATGTCTCATTCAATAAATTTGTCCCGATGGAAAGACATAAAAAACTTACAGCTGATGTCATGGAGGCGACAGCAAGAAAGCCGTGTCTCTTTCACGAGAACCCTTGAAAGCCTTTCTTGAGGGGATAGGCACTCTCAGCTGAAGTCCAAATGCCATGACGGAATTCAATTACCATCTCGAAATGGGCGTCATATGAGCCGAGTAGAGGTCGAAGGTGGAATGGTGATAGCGTTACTGTCACTTCTTAGGATAAAAAATTTTTTTAGTTCAGATACTATTTTAGAGAAATTTGAACTTTTACTGAAAAAAGGCGTTTGCTGCCGTTCTACTGCCCCCTTTCAGCAGATTCAGCAAGTTAGAAATGTAGGTTTCACGATACCAAATATGAATGTAACTTTTGTTTCAGGTTGTTCGAAAAAGTGGTGTTGTACTGCGACGAGTTCAACGACCTCATCCCGGTGTCGTTCCTGCTGGGCTTCTTCGTGAGCGAGATCATCAGACGGTGGTGGAATATGTGGGAACTCCTCCCCTGGCCGGACTCGGTCGCGCTCTTCGTCTCCACCTCGCTTCGCGGACAGGTCCTCGCTTGAGTAGTGCGATTGGCTTAGGAAGCTTTGTGCTGTCTGTTAGAAATTCGCGTGAATTTAAGTTAGCTTCTGCGGGTCAGTTTTGGGTTTTGAGGTCGAGAGGGTTCGTCACACACGCGAATGGCTAAGCTGTTCCATGAGGCCACAAATCAGGCAAAATGCACATTTGACAGGATTTGTAGAGCGAATTTTCGCTGTGACTCGTAAGTGGAGAGCTGGAAGTTTCCACTGTATTGCTGCTCATTGAATTCCTGCTTCCATTCCTGCCACTGCAGCTAGAGTTAACTCAAACTGCTTTAGAAATTTATTTTTGCTTGCGCCTACTCGCAAGGCAAATGGGCATCGACCGCATCTTCCCTGTTGCAGTGCCTGCGAAATTATTTGGTTGCGTTGAAGTTTCAGAATACACCGGTCGTGAATGGGATGGTTTAAATCCCCCATCATGCCCATTAAAGAATCTGCGGATAGTATGCTCACCCTCCAGATTATCTTTTTCAACCAGGACGAGCGAGGACGGGTGATGAGGCGGACCATCGTGCGATACATCAACCTGGCCATCGTCCATTCCATGACTCGCTTTTCCGTCCGGGTGAAGAAGCGATTCCCCACTTTGGACCATCTCGTCGCAGCCGGTAGGAATCGATTCCCTCTCCGATATTTTCCTGAGGAAAAAAAAAATTCTAGCTCCACATAAATGGGCATGTTAGAGTCTCTTGCCCTCGGAAAACGAAATCATTATTGGGGATATTTATAGTTCGCCTCATAATTTAGAATTCGCCGTTAAGAATGCACCCTGCACATTCCATTCCACCGCTGTGACCCGCCTCTCACGGTGGCAACATATCTGCGTATCGGAATAAGTTCATCCGGAGGATTGGTTCCCAGGAAAAGGTTGGCGATAAGCGAGGTGCACCGAATGACCGCGCATCGAGGGTTCACCATGGAAACTCTATTTCGACTGGATGGCAAGAAGGCCAATGTTATTTTTTTGCACGATCTGGCCAAGTAAGGAGCAGAGTTTTCCGGACCAGTCCAGGTTGTCCTGTCCTTCTCCGGCGATTTAATATGACTCCAACTTTTCAATTATTGGTGGTAAATAGATAAAATGCACATAAAATGTAGCTTAATACTCTTATTATATTATTTCATAGGTATTATATTAAATCGATTTTATAATATTTAAATAACCATATTTCGCACTATCTCATTCATGGGATTGAACTCCTGCATCACAGAGGATGCGAAGAACTGAGAATTTTTTTCTTCGTGAGTTTTTTCTCTGTGAATATGAGGATATTTTTTGTTTCCCTCTTCTAAGAGAGAAACCAAGAGGAACTGAGCACGACCAATACCAACATCTCCAAGATCGGCGAACGATGAAGAATTTCGAAGGGGAATTTCAATGAGTACTAAATAAGTACTAAAACGGGAAATTTTCAACTGCCTTTCTATTCATAATTTTATCTCTAATATTTCAAAAGCTAACAGAAGTCATGATCCTCGGAGAAGGCAGGAAACCCTGAAGTCCTTCGTGCTCTGCGATGCCTCCTCACGTCCATCAACGGGTCGTGCGTGAGCACGCACATGTATGGATCTCGCTTATCTCTGTCGAGTTGTTTAACTCTCGGTTTACCGAGAGTTAAATTGATTGATTCATCAATCAATTTAACAATTGACAATTGATTGATTCATCAATCGTTCGATTGATGAATCAATCGGATGCTCTGTGCGACGGAAAAAATCGATTTATCGAGCTATCGAGTGTATTTCAAGTGAATCAAGGTCGAATTTCAGCGTTGCATTTGCGGGAATTCCTTCTCGCTTTCGTCGCCAGGCGCGCCTGGGAATAATGCGCTGTTGTTGGGTGACCTTGTCCTTTTGACTCTGAATTTAAAAAACCATCACGAATCACTTCTGTTCTATTTTCGCAAATATTACAATTTTTCTTACTTCCCTTTCATCTGTGAATAATTCCTTTCAAAGTGTCTCAGAGGACTGAAATTGCATGAAATTGCACGAATCGTATTTTCGCATCATTGCAATGCATTTGCACCAAGTTCCGGCCAGTCTTACCAAGCCAATATGTCGCGTGGAAAGTTCTGCGGAATCAACCAGGCGCGGAGGCACCCGCGAGGCAAGCGAGCATCCATTCAGGCAAGCTGCTGGAGCTGCATTGAATTTCAAGCACTTTCAGCTAATAAAAACGTATTAATGAAACTCTCCTGCTCTCATTAGACTTAGCCCAATCTCAGAGCCGAGTCTGTCAAATCTCGTCGTTTCAGCAGTTCCCAAGTATTTCGGAGCATCAATAAATAAGTTCTTCACGGTGATTCCATCCAATATTTAACGAAGCACAAACCCGCCTCGTCATAGTACCTGACCTACGCCAGATTTCAGCTCCGTTTCCCTTTGACGTTGTGCCAATAGTGCCAATAGTGCCAATAGTGCCAATAGTCGATTGCGACGCAGTAGCGGCAAATGGGTCGCACGTGTTTCAAAATAACCCGTAGGCATTGCATCATGTTTCGAACTCCCTTCTGCGATGTAAGAAGGATACAAAAGATTATGCAACGCATACGGATGAAATTGCGAAGCATTTTGCTGCTTTAGCGACAAAATGCTATGCACTATAGTGCCCAACATTCTGTCAAGGGTAAAATTCCGATCCGGAAAACTGTACTTTTAACTACTCTCTGAATAACTCAGTACCGACTCCGCATTCACCATTCCGAACGTTCCACTTTACGCACTCTGGCAATGGAATGAGACGGAACTCACAGGTCGTGATAGACGATGGTTCCCGCTTTCCCACCAGGTTTCATGACGGAGAACGAGAAAGTCATCTTCGACGAGATGATCAACGTCCGGAAGATGCAGAAGCTCTACTGGATGCCCTGCGTCTGGGCGGCCAGCGTTGTGACTCGCGCGCGGAAGGAGGGCCGGATCAAGGACGACCAGGCGCTCAAGACCATCCTCGACCACATCAATACCGTTCGGGCCCTGTGCGGCAAATGCCATCACATCAATATCATCAACATTCCTCTTGTCTACCCCCAGGTATGCCGAAAGGGTCAATCTCCTATTTAGGACAATTATCATACTAATCCTAGCTTATATTCTTCAGATATGACCCTTTTTACCTGCAAATACGAGCTGAAGTAATAATGGATCATGATATAGTCACATCAAGAAAAATTTTAAGACATTCATTAGTTGAAGCTAAAAAAAAAGTGAAAGTGAACGCTAGGCAATAATTCCGGGCACAGTACTGTTGATCCCTAAAATACTTCCGAAAACTGACAGACGACCGAATGATTTATTTTCTGGTGAAGTTTCTGCCATCAAAGGGGATATGAATAGTTTTTTTCGACGTGCGCGCAATATTTTTGCATGAATGTCTTCAACAGGTTTCATCAACATTCTCCGAATTTTGCAGGTGGTGTCGATAGCAGTTTATGCCTTTTTCCTGTCCTGTTTGATGGGGAGGCAATTCTTGGACCCTTCCAAGAATTACCCTCACCACACCTTGGACTTAATTGTCCCATTTTTCACCATCTTCCAGGTTGCCCATCTTCCACCCTGAATCCCCCTGCAACCACGTGTAGGGGAATAATTGCCCCCCTTTTTATAACCTGATTTTTTTTCTCTCTCTCCTGCTTTGCAGTTCATGTTCTACATGGGATGGCTGAAGGTGGCCGAGACCCTCATCAATCCCTTTGGCGAGGACGACGATGACTTCGAGCTCAACTGGCTCATTGACCGACACATCAAGGTCAGCTTCATTGCTGTCATAGCAATCGTCACCTTTCTTGCCACTGCCACTTGTGGCGATTCCAGCGTCACCGTGGACACTGAAGGTAACGATGCCTTGAAATAAATTCTGGCATGATATGTGATCCTTCATGTCCTATCTTATCAGTTTCCAGTACATTCTGGTTGTTGAATTCATTATTCATTTGACAATCAAAGTCACATGATTTCATTCTTTATGTCAACTTTGCCGAAAATTGGCAAGGTCTACAAGCACAGGAAGAAATTTATCGTACATTCCGTTGCGTGAAAGTCTGTTCTAAGCATGTCTTCCCATCGTCTCCCCTCACACCATCTTTCTCACAGCCAAATTTAGTGCCTCACTCTTCTTGGCCTGACCTCATGCTACTCGGTTCGAATCCCTTCTGACACCCCTGGCGCGTCGTTGTTGTAGCTGGTGGGCGTTGAAATGTAGCATTGATTCAAGGAAGAAGCACGGGAATTTTCGAAAGGGGCATCAGGAATAAGAAAAACCGAAATTTCGAACAATTTAAGC